ATATATAGATAAATTTAATTAATATATAAATAAATTTTAAGAACACAATTATTTCTGATAAGCTAAAAAAATATATAAATTATATAATTTATTTAATCCCTTTATCTAAATATTAATTTTAATAATAATATCTTGTAAGAATTAAAAGCTTAATTATACATATTGTAATTTCAATAAATATTTTAATAGTTATAATCAAATGAAATGGATTTTATAAATATAATACAAATTAAAAGTTTGAAATAATGATAGAAATCTATTAGGTCTTTTAAGCCAATTAAAACTAAATCGAAGATTTGATATATTGGTTTATTAATTAAGTTTTATCAATTAAACTCTAGATAATTCACTACTTATTTAAGTACCATTTCCTTCAATTAGAAATCACAAAAGTTTCACTCAAAAGTTAAGATTGAACTTTTTTTTACTTAAATAAAATCTTTATGATCCTTAAAAAAAGTATAGGTAATTCTAATTTGGTAATGAAAAATTTAATATATAAATAATTAATAATATCAAAATGAATGAGGAAAATGAATAGAGCATTGACTTAGCAAAAGAAATGTTATTAGTCGGTCTCAACAATCCTGAATTAAATGATAATATTGATAAGGAATGGAATTCAAGGCGAAATCAACCAAGACCAAAGACTGCTTTACATGATAGGAGATAACAATAATTATAAGAGTTAAAAGAATAATTTTTATCATCTAATAATATATCACAAAAGCAGGTTAAAAAAGAAAAGGCCATCCAATAGGTTCATTAAAATTATTAACCATTACCTTAAAATAAGGAATTAGGAGCATAATTTGTCAATGCAATAGAAAAATTTAATGAGAATTTGACTAGAGATTCAGGTGTTGCAATTTGCTTTAATTTGATAGAGAAAAACAAAGATTTGTAGTCAGTTTAAACAATGATTGAATGTTTATATAGTAGTTCAAAAAAAAATATTAATCCAAAGACAAATAGTTAAAATACATTAGCAATAGATATGGAATTGATCACTTTAGGTGAAATAATAAAGTAAAATGAAGAAACCTTAAACCCATATTTAATTGATAAAATTTTTCAAATAATAAAAAAACATATGAATGTACGAATTGATTATATTTAGAGTAATTCTGATACAACAATTTAAGCAATAAGTTACGTTCTTATGTAATTGTAATCTCATATAAATGTATCAAACACTTATTAAGAATTAAATGAATTTATATATGATAAAGGCAGACAAGTTCAAGTGGCAACAATTTTGTCATTATTATGTTATTATTTAAAATAATAAAATAAGATAGAAGATTTTAATATTTTAGGGTAATTGATTTTTGAAATTTACAAAGTAAAATTATATAATAAGATAGAAATTAATGATTGATAGTGTAGAATTCTTGAAGTGCATAGAATTTTTATTATGTTTAAATTTGAATTTAAATCATGAAATCATTATTTAAAGATCTCTAAAGTATTGTTAGGTACCGATTAATAAGAATTCAAAATACTATTTGATAGTTTGTTAAGCCTGTAAGATTATTGAGCATATGGGATCGAAAACAAGAATGATGTCAAATGAAGTAATAAAAGAAATGGAAAAATTGACTAATGACAGAAGAGTAGATGTTTAAGTAGCAGCTAAGAAAGCAATTTCAGCTTGGAAAGAGTAAGAAATCAAATTAATAGAACCTTAATTAGATTAATTTTATAATAAAATTGGATTTTGTTAAACTCCATATACAGAGTATTAGAAGAGAGGATTTTAAAGTTTAGTGAGGGCTAGCTCTTATGTAAGAAAGAATTCAAGGTCTCCTAGTTTACCCAAGAAATTAATTAATTAAATAGCTAAACCTAAGATTAGGGAGAAAATAAATAAGATAAGATCTAATTCACCAAAATTCTAATTATTGGAAGAAGATACAGAAGAAGTGAGAAGAAACTAGGCTTTACAATTATTAAAATAAAAAAAGAATGATAGTCAATAGGAATAAAAGAAAAAGGAAGAAGATATTTTTGAGGATTCTTTAGAAACAAATCCATTTTAAGTGATTCCATAATAATCACAAGTTCAATAAAATTAAATAGTTGAATAAAAAGAGGAATTGTAAGATAGTTTGATGAGAAGCTCATAAAATAAAGATGATGTATAGTAGTTAAGTAAGATGCCAAGTATTTAATATATTGATAATGTTTAAACTATGAAAAAATCATTACATTAAGAAGTGTATTAGGATATTAAAGGAACTTTTGAACATGTTACAGAAATGGATTAAAATAGTTAGTAAGAGAATAATTAAAAAAATATGAATATTTAATAATTAGAGGTTGAGAAACATTAATATATAAAATAATAAAGTGTTTAAGAGAATTATTAGAATGGTGTTAGTTAAGATATTAGTACATAATTATTATAGGAGAAATAAGAGTTATAGAATAAATAGAAATCTTAAGGAAATTTAGAAAATTAAGAATTGTAATATGAAAGGGTTCAACAATAGATTTAAAAGGTTAGAAGTGGAAATGTATAAAAATAAGAAGAGGATGAGATAGAGTTTGAAGAATAAGAAAATGAATAAAATATTGATGATAATTATTTAAAACCTTTTTAAATTTAATAGATATCAAATTTTGATGCATCTATTTAAGAATTTCCAAAAGAATACATTTCTAGAAATAATAATATTAATTATGAATAAGAATTAATAGAAGATAAGGATGTAAACAAAGAAATACTTTCTTAAGATTAAGAAATTATAACATAAAATGTTTATCAAAGAAAGGAGAATGAAATAAAAGTAAAATCAGGTTAAGTTATGTAATAAGAACATGTTGAACTTGATGTAACAACTGAAGATATACAATAGCTTGATTTAACAAAAGAAGATTTAGAATAATAGGATATTAAAGATGATTTAGGGATATTATAATAAAAAGATAATGATTAATTAAATAGACTAGAAAATAAAAAGATAGAATCTATATAAAATAAAAAAATAGAATTAATAGAAAATTAAGTAACTGAAATTAATGATAAAAAGAAGAAATCGATAGAAAATGAAGAATTTAAGGAAAGTTTGAAAAATAATAAGGTTGAATAGAAAAGTGAGAAAAGAGCTAGATATAAACGCAATAGATATTATTTTGAATAAGCTTTGAGTAAGGCAAAACAAAATTTGAATGAAGGTTATGAGATATTGTTTGAAAATTGCGATGATTTATAAAAGATACAGTATTTTAATAATTTTTATTTTAGATTTATGATGATGGTTGGTCCTCAGATAAATAAATTAAATAATAAAATAATGAATAAGATTATTGAATTTATGAATGAAATGAAGGATGCAGAGTTATTAAATGTTTTAGGAATAAATTTATATAAATAAGTAAAAGAATGTGAATATTTTGATGAAATAAATAATGAGGACATGTAGGATGTGAAAAGTGTATTATATGAAATTAGTGGAAGCAATTCTGAAGGAATAGGTATGATGGCAGTAAATATCTATAATGAACTTTGAACTTAATGAATAATATTCATTATTATTATTATTATTTTAAATAAATAATGGCTTTGTGGAAAGTATTTTAAAAAGCAGGGCAAAGATCTACAATGCCTGCTGCATTCAAAGAGGGATTATTTGAGAAACCTGGAGAATTCTCATACAAAGTTAAAAACATGGCAGTAAGCTATGAAACAGCTTCTTGGATGCTCAGAGAAGGTATTGTAGAATATAATCCAAATAAATGGGGATATGTGTTGAGTAAATCACACAGAGATTTCAATGATTATTGGACTAGAAGTAAGTTTAATAAAATAAATGTAGCTATGTTTACAAGATGTGGTTTATTTTTAACAGGATGTTGGTTATTTAGTTGTTTATACACAAAACCAAGATTCGATTGGCAAGATTATCATGATCCTAAATTCGAATAGAAGACATATGGTGATTTAGAAGAAGGAGGTGATGAAGGAGGAGATGATGATTGAAAGAATCAAGATATTAAAATAAAATATAAAAATATAATATAATAATATCTAAAATTTAGTATTCTTAACAGTCATCTCAAATTAAGAATTATAATGATAAAATAGAATTAACAATACAAGATTTCTCTAAGAATAGATGGAAAGAATAGTTGTTTCAACTAACAACACTAAAATTTTCAAAAAGCAAAGTGAATAGTGCAACTAAATTAATTGATTTTAAAGATTTTCAAAGTCAACAATTAATTATACATAATAATTGACTAATAAGTAAAATGCATTTTAAAATAAATCAATAGTGAGCTTTTAATTCATTAGTTTGAATTATTTTAATCTAATAATCAATACTACTTCTTGATTTTAATTACTCAATTTATTATTAAACTTATGATTTTTAATAATTGTTTAAACAGAGAGATGAAAATATCAAAATGAATTTACAATAATTTTAGTTTTGTATATATATTTTCCTTTTTTTGAAATTCTGTTTTATAAAATGAAGTAGCTTCAAATAAAGTAATTTTGATTCAAAAAGAAAATATACAATGATGTAAATCTATTTATCATACCTCTGAAATATTTAATATGATTATATTTAATATTATTATAAATTAATTTCAGTTTCAAATGGCTGATGATAATTTAGATTAGATTATAGATATGCCAGAATAATCTGATATGATTAATGATGCAAGAACTCAAGTTTTAATATGATTATTTAATATTATTAGGCAAAATATGCGGTAGAACATTTTAAGGTAGAATCATAGATCTCAAATTACATTAAAAAATTCTTTGATGAAAAATATGGTCCAAATTGGCATTGTGTTGTTGGTACACTTCTTATTAATATATATTTAAGGGAAACATTTTAATTCTTATTCATCTTATGAAAGCAAAAGGTATATGTTCTTTTATGAAGGATAAATGGCAATATTACTTTATAAAATGGGTTGAAGAATACAGAATAAATATTATCATTTATTAAATATTACATTAAACAACTTCTCTGCATTACCAAATCTATCAATCAATTTCATCAGACCATAAAATAATTATTTTTCATTGTAATGCTATTAAAAGACTTAAGCATTAATCCATTTCCATTCTCCATGTTTATTTGGTTCTACATTCATTAATTAACTCTTCTCATTGTAATCTGCAGTTAAGAATACTACAACAAAATGATGTTATATTTCCTTCTTTACAATATTTACCATCTAGAATATTTGTGGATTCTCAATGTCCAAATTAGTCTCCTCTTTTACTTCTCTAATTGCACAATCTTCAAATTCTTCATACAGTTCAAGATGACCCCCAGGTAAGGCTAAATATCCATTATCCTAAATATTAAAGTATATCAATTACTTTACGATAGCTCATCAATACAGAATCTCCATTTCTAATAAATACTCCTACTCCGAGACCTGGACGCATCATGTTATTTATGAAAATATTTTAATTATAAAATAAAGATGTCAATTACAAACCCTCATTTATAGAATCATTCACCATATAGTAGTATGATTAAAAAATAAACAAATGGAAATCAATCTCATTCATCTTTGAAAGTAATATGAAATTATATTATATTCCAGAATTTACAAAATCTGGTTCCATAGATAAATGTGTAAATCAAAAATTAGATGCAATTAAATTTTAATTGTTAAACCTAAAGAGAATACAAGCATCGATAATCTGAATTAGAGACTAAGAGAAAACAATAATCTCCAAATGTTTAAAGGTTTAGTTAAACCAAAAATAATAATTTCGTTTCAGGTTATTATTCGAATGGTAATGCATAATAAAAAAACATTAACTTAATTAAGCAATAAATATGTTATCAACTTAATTCTGTATAGGATTTAAAGAAAGGTTTATTAGATGAGAAGAAAAGTCTAAAAAAATAATCAAAAACAAAGTCTTCTGAATAATTATTATCTAAATCACATAAAATAACTACAGAACCTATTTAAAAAACATAAAACAATTAAAATTTGATTAATAAAATCAAAGAATAATCAAATTAGCAAAAGAATGGTAGTATTAGCAATCCAGTCGAATTTAATTTTAAAAAATTACTTTAAAAGTACCATTTAACTTTGAATAAAGCTAAGAGTACTGACAGATTGAAAAATTAGAATCATCAAGATTTTCTAAAAGAATCCTTTAGACAAAAAGAATAATAATAAACGACATTATAACATTACATTAATATTCATCTATATGATTAAGAGAAAAAATTAGAAATAAAATATGACTGTTCAGAAAAGACTACAGATTAATTACTTTAATACTTAATAGAAATTTGTTAAGATAGTATATATTTTATTATTAACATAAGATGAGAATATAATTGGATTTTCATCTGTAGATAATAATATTGCAATTGAATATTATCTAAGTCTCAAGAATAAAGATTTGATGATATTGGATAAGTAAACTATAAAATTATAACCATTATATCCAGAATAAACATAAAAATTATCATTAAAAAGCTTTCATTTTTTATTATGTGTAGGTATTGGAGGATTTTCAAGAGTATATTTAGTTAGATCAAAAAGAAATGGTAGATTTATAGCTTTAAAATTGATATCAAAATAATTTATAATAGAACATTAAAAATAATAGATTGTATAAAATGAAAGAGATGTTATGGTTTAATTAAATTTAAGTGATTAATAAATGCCTAAATAATTTATATGTCAATTAGAATGTGCATTTGAAACAAAAAATTGGGTTTGTTTTGGTATGGAATATTGTCCTGGTGGTGAATTATTCAATCAATTAAGAAAAGTTTAGAGAATGAATTAAGATTAAGCAAAAATCTACTTTGTTTAAGTTTGTATTGCAATAGCATTTTTGCATAGTTAAAATGTATTATATAGAGATGTAAAACCAGAAAATATCTTAATTGATGAGTATGGACATTTAAAAGTTGCAGATTTTGGTTTAGCTAAACCTAATATGGGTTAATTTGATGAAGCATATTCTTTTTGTGGATCACCAGAGTATATGGCACCAGAAATGTTATAATAATAAGGACATACATTTGCAGTTGATTATTATTGTTTAGGAGCATTACTTTATGAATTATTAACAGGACTTCCTCCATTTTATTCAAAAAATACAGATGAAATATTTTAAAGTATTTTAAATGATGATGTTTAATTTCCTGTAAAGGTTTGTTCTCCTGAAGCAAAAGATTTATTAAGAAAATTATTACATAAAGATCCTAATTAGAGAATGGGTAATAGAGAAGGTATATAAGAAATATTAGGACATTAATTTTTTGATGATGTAAATTTAATTGACATTTTAAAAAGAAAGATCTAACCTCCTTTTTTGCCAAATTTAATTAAATTTAATTTTGATCCAAAAGAATTTAAATAAGGAGAATAACAATTTAATTAAGAATTGTAAAAATCATTATAAAGTGATTAAGAGACATAATTTGAATCTATGTTTGAAAATTTTTATTTTATAGGTGAGACTTTGAAAATAAAAAAACCAAAATTTGAAAAATAAACAAATAGACCTTAATCATTAATTGAAGCTCAATAAGATACTATAATGACTGATAGAATTGATAAGAATTTAAATTCTAATAATTCTGCCAATTTATCACTTAAGAAGGGATTTTCTGCAAAATAATTATAGGTTGAACATTCTTAAAAGATTGAGGAATTGAAAAAAAGGATTTAACAATAGAATACTTAAGTAAAGTCTTATATTGATCCGTTTGATAATTTGGCTGTAAATTAATTAATTTATTAAAACAAAGCCAAAACTTCAAGATTAAAAAATAATAAATGAATATTTAATTATTCTCGTATCAATATAATTATAATAAATAAATATAAAATTTCAAATATCTTTTTATTAAGTATTAGGAAAAGATCTTTTTAATTATTATTTGATTTAATTTTTATTAATTATATCTGCTTAATCACAAGAATTAGATATACAAATTCTTTCAGTATATGATTCATTTAATTATTCTTATGTTGAACATCTTTCAAAATTCTTTTTTGATTAATATTTATGTTATTGTTTTTTTAATTCATTTTTGTATTATTAGCAGATCTACATATCAACACTGAATATTTGAAAAGTTTTAATCATTTTATTTTATTTAATTTGATTAAAGATTGCTTCTAATAAACATTCTGAATTGTGTAATTATTCAGATTTATCTTTAAATTTATCTTTGCCTTCTCTATATCCAACATTTTCTAATTCATATTGAAACATTAATTCAAAGCTAATTTATATAGAATTATATACCCTTATTAATAAGCTTCAATAATTTCCTTTCTATTGTCTTAATAGTTTATTTTAAGATTAATTATGAATTCAAATTAACATGATTATGGTGGTAATCTTTAGATAATTGGTATTTTAGGTTTTACTAAGTATTTAAGATAGATTACAAAATTCACGTTGCATTTCTGGTAATTACATTAATGTAAAGGTATTGGGATCAATTTATGCATTCACTATGATATTATAGAGTTATTTACATATTCCTCTAAGGTTATTCAAAAGAATATTTCCATGAATAATAGTTATTGTGGATAAATTGATGGTAGCTTCATAAACATGTGTATTGTCTTAAAAATTCAAATCATTTAGTTTATCTCCTTAACAAAAATCTATATAGGTTAATTATTATATATATATACTTCCCATATTGATCAATAAATTAAATTAATGAATAATAAAAAAGTTTTAGAGTTAGTATCAAAAATATTGATTTTTAAAACTGAGCATTGCTAACATAAACATTCATGTATTAGAAATACTTTCCAAGGTGCAAGTGAAGCATTCATTAAGGCATTTATTGCTAAATTATGTTTGAATGGATTAATGTTATTATTAAGTTTAAAGAAGGTGATGAAATCAGATAAAAAATTATTAAATGCTTTCAAAATTCTACTAAATAAGTATGAATAAATTAATATAAAGAACTAATTTTCAATTGGGATTGTTTATGGGATTATAAACATTCTTACTTAAAGGTACATAATGTTCATTAAGAACAATAAGAAATAAAGAGGATGGAATCAATGCACTCTTGGCTGGATTCATTGCTGGAGGTTTAAGCTATATGACACAAGAGGAAAATGTTAAATATTTAGTCAGAGTGTATTTATTTGGTAGAGCAGTTGATTGCATCTATTAATCTTAAGTTGAAAAGTACTATTAACATTTTTATTATTCATAGAGGACGATTCAAACATAGAAAAATTATACCTGTTTTAGTATTTGCTTTAATGTCCACATTGATTTCATTCGCATTCTTTTTTGAACCTGAGATTTTACCATTGGATACATATAAAATGTATTAAAATTTCTCAGGTGCTGAAATGAATGATTCATTATGGCATATGTGCAATGTCTAAGCATGGAGAAATAAAATTAATGCAGTTAAATCCTCATGAAATATTATTGTTAATTTCATATTTATCATTTATAATTTATGAATGATCTATTAATTATATGTATTTAAAGTTGAACATTCTTTTGTATGTAGATTTATATTTATATCTTACTAATTATATAGTGTTATTAGAATAATGATTAATATTATATATTCATTTAGATATAATATATCAAATCTAATTATTATTTATAAATTATATCAATTATATATTATTTTAGTATACTTTTATAATAAACTATATATTTTTATATTTTTATTTGATTATATTCTAATGGCTAGAACTTCATATCTCATATAAAATTATAAGATAATACAAATCTATCATTAACTTTATAATTATCATAATGAAAAAAAGATATTAATAATAGTTATTTTTAAGCCTCTTAAGTAAACTAAAATTTATAATGTCATTAATATATATATATATTTTAAGAATATAAAAAAAAGCTCCGCGTCCGGGAATTGAACCCGGGCCTCAAACGTGACAGGCTTGAATACTAACCACTATACTAACGCGGATTCTTAATTATTTATTTTAAGTTATTATATAAATGAGTGTGAGAGTTAAACTTGATAATAAAGAAAGAGGTTATTATGCCTCATTGTATTAAGCAGTTGATGCAACAGTATTTAAATATATAATACTATTAGAATACAGGCTAAATTGGAGGAGCCTAAGCAGTCACATTTTTCAAAAGGTCTGGATTATCAATTGATATTCTTAAGAAGATTTGGTTAATTAGTTCACCAAATAATTAAACTTTAAATAAAGAGGAATTCTATGTTGCTCTTAAGCTTATCAGTTATGCACAAAACAATATTGAGGTTTCCATTGATTCCATTTAAAGATGCATTCCAAGTTCATTACCATAATTTTAATCTGATACAGAAGAAGTCTATAAACTAAGACCAGAATAGGAAAGGTTATATTAGAATTATATATAATAATTGGATCATTCCAATTCAACAGTATAATTATTTATATTTATTAGGTCTCAACTTAAATGGCTATAAATTTATTCAAAAAAACACAACTCACTTAATTCTAATTATAGAATATCATCAATCTAGTAGATCCAAGTTTATAAACAAAACCAAGAATGACTACCCATTCCTATATTGTTATTGCCCATCTAATATCTTTAGCATCTTAGAGTGTACCTATACCATAAAAATTACCAAACTCCTTATCAGAATATTTAAATTAACAAATATTGATATCATAAAATCTTAATAATAATATTAATAATACACCTATAAATGTTGTACCTAAATCAAATGATTTATTAGATTTTGAAGCAAATTTTGATAAATCTAAATCTCCTATTGATAAATGTATATATTCTTATTAGACTATTTAGATAGTGCTTTCAATTATATTGAAATTCCAAATACTAGTATTGAATCAACTGTTTAATAATAACAATAACCTTAATTAACTACATCTTAATCATTCAAAATACCATCCACATAAAATTAATAACCAATCTTAAAACAACAAAAATCATTTGATTTAATTATTAATGATAATGATTCGCAACCATAATAAATTATCTAGTAACCTATACCATAATAATAGTAAGTGACTACTATATAATCATAGACAAGTACATAATAACTTAAAAAGACAATAGAATTTTAAAAATAAGTCTTACTTTAAGAATAAATGTTAATATAACAGTAATAGCTAGAATAAAATTATAAAGAAGCAAATGATTTGCTTAATGAATTTAAGGAATCTCATGAAAAGATTCTAATTTCAAGTTAAAGTTAATTAGAATCATTATAAACAACAAATGAACAATATAAGACTTTATTAAAAAAGATTTCAGATGAAAATTATTTATTTTAAGAAGAACTTAAATAAATTGAATTATAGAAAAAAAAACTTACTGAATCTTTAAGTAAATAAGCCATAGAAATCAATTAAAAATTAGGATTAAATATTTAATTAAAATAAGAATACTCTAAATAAACAACAAATACAATTAATGTAGTTACAGATTATGCAAATTAAATAATAGGAGATTTGAGATCAAATTATGAAATTGAATAAGAAAGAAAAAAGAGATAGGAATAAGAAATTGTTAAAGAACTCAAATTATAAAGAGATTAAATGACTTCAATTTTTGAAGCTTTGAATTCTTTATCTAAAGATATGAAATCATAAAGAAAAAGTTCAATTCCTTATTAACCTATCGATACACATGATACAAATATACCTATATAATAGGTTTATTAATTATAATAATTTGTTGATAATAACTTTGATATTATTGATATATAAACAATAAAGAAATAAGAATATTAGTAAGAATAAATAAAATAAGTTGATTTAAATAATAATAAAGAATAATTTGATGTATTTTCTTTATATAATGATAAATAACATAATTAAATACTCTAATAAGAATAGAATGATTAAATAGATTAATAATAATAATAATAAGTAGAAAATTTTGGATTTAGTGATAATGTATAAGTTTAATTAAGTTAATAATAATAAACAGAAGATAATAATAAGATTGATGATAATAATATTAATAGAAATATTGAAGATCATCATGAAATCTAATAGTAATAAGATTAATAAATAAATATTGAATTTGATTAATCTACTTAATTTGAAAATTAAGATGAAATAGAACATAAAGGATTTGATATTAAATTTGAAGATGGATTTGGTGTTCATTTTGATAAAAGAAATTCTAATGAGTAAAATCCATCTATAAATTTTGATTAAAATTTTGTATTTGATTAAGAAATAAAATAAGTAGATGAAGTTTAAATTGATTTTGATGCTAATAAAGAATTTGGTGGAGGTGATTGGACAGGATTTGGTGATAATTTTGTTAAAGGATCTCAACCATAATAGGATGAATTTTAAACATTTAAATGGTGAAAATAATTATATATATATAATAATATATATGATTCATTCATTATTATTGATAAATAATCATATTTAAAAATGATTTTTAAAATCATCATAATTAAATTCATGTTATTTATGATTAAGTGTATAGATGTATTTTTCATATAATTCAGGTGTCATATAAAATTTGAGAAATTAATTAGTTAAGAAAGTAGCTTCATCTTTATCTATTTTATAATCCATAATATCTCCTCTTATTAATGCTAATTGTTTTGATGCTAATAACTCTTCAAAAATAGTTAATATAAAATAAGGAGTGGAAAAAGACCCTGATTTTTTATATTCTTCTAAAAAAGTAAATAACTAACATATGAATTATGTTTACAATACTATTTGTTTATGATTATCCAATCAATTAAAAATGACCTCCTTTTCTTTTAATTGGTAATAAAAATAATGGAGATTCTTTTGTATTTCTTTTTAGAATTTCATATTCATCTTTACTTACAATATATGCAACATTATGTTATTTTTCTTTATGATACTCCATCCATAATGAAATAACTTAATCTTTTGATTCCCTTTCAAATAAAGACATTTTAACAATTTCTCTCAATTTTCTAGGACATGGATAAGTAAATGCAAACTTATATTTATTTAAGAAACTATTTAACATAATTTAATTTATTTTTAAATTATTAACAGTACAATGATCTAAAAAGTGAAAATTGAATGTGTTAAATAAGGATACTAAATTAGCAATGAAATGAAATTTGATATAATAGATTTTTATACTAAATCTTTACATCAAGAACATTATGCTCATAAAACTGATTATATTAGACATAATCTTGAAGAAAAATATGGTATATTATTAATTATAAATAATAGGACGTTGTTTCTCAATAATAATGTATTAGATTGGTGCTTTTGTGTCCCATTCATTTTTACATGCAGATGATTTTTTATTAGAATTAAGATCACCTGAACATCATATATTAGCATATATGTTACCACCATCATTTACTCCTCCTCCTTTAATTCCTGAACCATAGGTTATACCATTTAGTAGAACAACTACTCAACAATTACATTTATCTAAATATTAGTAATTGTATTACATTTTAACATAGTCAGCCATATAATACTAGTTATTACCGATATTGATTCAATTTATTTTATTTATAAAATATCATAAATTTATGTCATTTAGTAATTCTCTTGTTTCTTCAAAAAAATAGTAAATATAACAAATATTAGGAATTAGATATTTCAAATTAAATATAAATAATATTTAAAGATTTATTTACTAACTATATAAATTCTAAAAGTAAACAGCCTCTTTATAGAAATAAATATATATATTAAAAAATAGTTTATTGATTAATAATAAATATTACAATATAAATGGAGATCATGTAAATTAGACTGTCGGTTAAGAACTAAAAAAATTAGTATCTGTAATGTCTTAACATGATCTTTTTTAAATTTAACTTTATTAAGTTGTTTTATTTCTTTAGACAACTTTAAAATTACTATAATGTTGATTATTGCTATTTTTAGTACTATGAACTGGTTTGTATGGAAAGAGAGAATCACAAAGTATGAATCCTTGTTATGGTTTGGCTTTATAAAATTGATCTGCAGTCTAACATAAAGATTTAGATTTCGAAATAGATGTATGAGATTAACGACTTAGACATTATTTGAGTATTTCAACTTTTTATTAAATTAAAGGATTAATTATTCTTAGTTATTATTTGGTCATTGTTAAAAATGGTAAATTATTTTATAATTCTTCTTCTTCTTCTTATTAATTAAATATGATTGGTTCTTTTTATAAAACTGAAGGTAATTGATGTCTTCTAATTTATTATAGAAGATCTTTAATATCTTTTTGATTTTTACTAAAATAAGGTGTTTTACCTCTTAACATAAATTTAAAATAAATACTTAGGTTTTGCAGGTTAAAATTATTCGAATTATTTTTCAACTCTTATTAGTAAACATTTTTAGAAGTTTTCTCCAGCCATTTTAAGCATATTGAATTCTTCATTTTTACCAGCTGCTATATCAGATTTTGTATTCTAATCAGCAATAGACAAATTTTATTCAACCATTTATTATTTAGTCATTTTAGGTTATAATGTAGATCTAAGAATAGGAGAGGATTATTCTTAGACTGAATTCTATGTTTTTTATTTAATTTCAATTTCATTAATGTATCTTCTTTCAATATTTTTGATTTCTTCTTTTTTATGAAGATTAATATTAGATATTTTAGTTTAAATAATTTCTTATACTCTTTTTCTATACAATAATATATTTTTTTATTGTAAAGATTAAAGAGGTATAATAAATTCAGGAAAGGATTTCTTAACAATAGCATAATTATCTAATTACAATACAAATACATTGCATTAAGTTATAGTTTTAACAGTGTAATCTCTTTTTTCATTTTATAAATAGATATCAGTTTCACCAACAAAACATCCACCTGTAAGATGTGCTATCTATATATTGTGTAAAATATATACAGTAATTAGTTCTTTCTAATTAGATTTCTCTCTTTTTGGTGATAAGATAATTTGATTCTATTCAGATTTTAGTAATGGATTAAAATCAACAGTTTATTAGAGTTGAATTTCACCATCTTTTAAGAGAAAGAATCCATCAACAATATCATTTTATTTCCATATAGTATAATTAACAGGATATTTGTATTATGTGAAATACATTATCAATTTACTCATTTTAAATTTAGTCATAGTTGGAAACATCTTAAGAAAATAATCTATTTTTTCTTATTATGTTTTTATCTATTTTTCAAAGATTTTCTATTAATAAATAAATATAATATATATACTTTGAAATTTGCTTTATTAAGTGATAAGGCTTAGACATCTGTAACAGCAATAATACTAGCTGCTCTAGGTTTATCAGTTGTCAAAGCCATATCTCCAAAATAAAGACCAGAATGTACTTATGACAATTATTAGAATTTACATATTCCATTAATAGTAAAATACATATCGAAATTACCTACATATAATAATAATAATTCTGCTTCTATTTATTTTACTGGTTTTGATTATTTTTTTATTAGTTTTTCATAAAATGATAATTTATGATCTTATTCAATATCTTCAATTGTTTAAATTTACATTCTTTCTAATATTTTTTCAATTTTTGGTAACATAGCACTTTCCTCTGCTTCTATTTATTATTATTATCTACGAATATATACACCTGCTCTTCCAGTTAAGATTATATAGAATTTATCTCCTTATTCACCTTAAAATAATAATCAATATAAACCTATATGAAATACTGCATTTTCTTTTTAAATTCTTTCATATTATAAATTTTAACAAATTAAACGAGTGAATTCAAATAATGTACTAGATTCAGGACACCAAGTTTTAAAGATTTCTATATTTTACATAATACTAGTAATCGAATCTACTTATATATCTGTTAGATTGAGATTATCTCTATACACTTAAATTACAGGCTCATCATAACATTTAAACTTATACTGTAAACATCAATTCTTTCTATTTAATTTAATCTTCCACATCAATTATTACTTCTTTTGCGACTGTTTTTCTTCTATTCATTTATATGTAAATAAATGATTAATTTTATAATATAATTATGTCAATATTATAATTTATTCTGATTTGCTGAAATGTCTACAATCAACAAATGTTAATCATATATTTATTATTATCAATTGTAATATTTTAATACTTTTTCTATCAATATAATGAATATAAATAAGGATAAAATAAATAAATAATATAAATTAGGTATTTCATATTTTTTAATTAGTTGTTATTAATTTATAAAGATATCTAATATAAATTATGAATCTATTATTAATTTATATATATATGCTGTATTATACAAAACAAGATTTATTAATAGATTGAATAGATTGTAACAAATACAAATATCATTTAAATCATATTCATCCACACACTTTATAAGGACATGATCCAACAAGTTGTCCACAACTTGGACACATATGATTTGCATCTCTACAACCGTCAGCCACAAATGGAATCCAACAAATACAGCATACAAATAAAAATAATATGAAACAACAACACCAAGTTCCTGATCCTGCTTAAAAATCTATCCTTGTTGTTCCTTACTTTTAGCAATATGGGCATGTCATTAATATTGGGAATCTTGATTAATTACAAAGTATTTAAGATTGTGTTGTATTCCCTAATTAAGCATTTACTACAATTAACTCTTATTAACCTGGAGGAGATCCAACTTAATCTATAATTTATTAATCATAAAATTTACAAGGAGCACCCTAAACAATAATATTTTATTGAGGATTAAGAGGTGGAGGAGGATATTATGGTTGAGACTAATATGTGTTCATGGGTTATGTATACACAACTAATTCTAAATATTTTAAACATTACCTTATTAAGTTTATGTCTAAAGAGGTGCCTAATATTACTATTGACCATCAGCTATTTCAAAAGTGGTATTAGTATCTTATTGCATAATTAAATATATTAATGAATTCTAATTCTATATTATTTTAGCTAAATTTCTATTTTAGATATTTAATCATTCTGCCAATTATATAAAGGTATTTCTATTATAAAATAAATAAATATCAATTAAGAAACAACAGAAAATATGTTAATATTCAAGAAAAACAGATATCCTCTTATTGAAAAGATATGGTTTAATAATTATATTCTAATCAATATTTGGACATTTCACATAATAATTATTATTATTGATTATTTGAAACTACAATATAGTTGTTAATAAATATGATAAATCAATATCTATATAATATAAAATAATGTTGTAAATATAATTAATAAATAGTTTTAATCACATTTAAATTGTTAAAATGATAAAAAATATATAATAATTATTTGATTTTATTTAACAATAATATGAAATTGAATTTCAAAATTAAACTGGCTTAAGAAATGAAAACTTTTGATCTGTTGGATTAATTAAGTATCTAAGTACAGACTCTCCAGATTTAAAATTATAATTAGTTAAGAAATTGTGTCTATTTTAGAATATCTTAAATATTTCTTTAATTTTATAACTACTATGACCAACATCATGATCAGGATCTTATGGACTAATTAATGAAAATCTCTCATCTTATGTAGATTTGTTTTCAATACTTCCTCCCCTACCCATAACAATTTTCTTTCTTGATACATCAAATTTGATTCCATAAAATTCAAGAAACTTAATCATATATTCACCTAATGTAACATTCTTTATTTAATCTTGTTTATTTTGTTTAAAGAAATCTTTACGATATTCTCTTAAAAATGCCAAGATCATTTAAAATAATAAGAAGGAACCCACTCCTCCACTATATGTTTCATTTAAATCTCTTTATCTTAAAATACACTTTAAAGTCATTAATAGAAATTTTAATTCAGGATAAATTTCAAAAGCTTTTTCTAATTCTTCAATTTATTTTAATCCATCTAATTAATTAAATGATAAATCAAAATGATATTAGGATTCAACTTCAATAAATTTAATGATAGGCACTTTAGCATTAGCTATTAAATTAACATTTTCAAATTTATTTGTTTGTTTCATCATTTTAGCAGCTACCTTTTTAAATAATTATTTTTATGTGCAAGATGTTTCTATCATTACCATATCTATATCTGCATTAGGTAAATACATTCTTGTTTTAAAACTACCAAATGATTCAATTTAAGCTTCTGGAATAATATCTTATAAATATTTCTCTACTCTCATATAGGCTGTTATTCTTCGTTTATGTTCTTGATCAGATGGTGAGATGTAATCAAAAAATTCAATAATTTCATTATGTAATCTCAATACTGGATGTCTAATCATCATTGTCTTCTTGCTCATCCATGGAATAATATCTTCATTTATTATACAATCATCTTCATCTTCATTTTTTATTTTCTTTTAACTTAAATTATTATAATGTTTATATACATTTTTGGTTCATCTTCTTCATCATTTATCATTATTACTTCTTTGTTATTTGAATGTCTAGAATGATGAGCATTTTTGTTCATTAGATAAAAATTATAATGAATTAATAATATTGGTATATTGAAACAAAGCATATACTATTAATCAGTATAAGCTTCCAAGTTAAACCATAGGTCTATTTATCATAATATTGATGACAATAACCATGTTTAGAGTATTGCCTCAGAGATTATGATCCTAATCTATAACTTCATTCAATTATTTCTATAACTAAGAATCACTATAATTCTTTATGGGTTTATATATATAAATTATTAATATATTGTAATTATGGATTCCAATAATGATAATATAGAAATATCTGAATAAAAGAAATAATTCCTTAAAGCATTCTTAAGAGTCTGGAAACTCAAAAAAGACTAAGAATTATAATAGAAAGAGAAATAATAAGAATAAACAGAAGAATAAATATAAGAAATTTAATCAGAATAAGCATAACCTAAAAGTTAAGTATTTTCAAGAGAAGAATATGCTAAAGATCAATTTTGGGAAGATAGATACAAAGAACATAAAGGAAGATTTGATTGGTATGTAGAATGGCCTTAACTTAAATTCTATTTAGAATAAACTAAATTTAAAATAACAAAAGAAAGTTCAATTTTAATGGTTGGATGTGGTAATTCAGCATTGTCTGAATAAATGTATAAAGATGGGTATATATATATATATATTAGTTATCATAATATTGTGTCAATTGATATATCTACAACTATTATTGATAGAATGTAGGATTCTGCAATTAAATAGAATATGAAATTATAATATATGGTTATGGATGCAACGTCTATGAGTTTTCAAGATAAACAATTTGATATTGCATTTGATAAAGGTACTTTAGATGCATTATCTTGTGGAGATGATACTAAAAATATATTATTGTTATAAGAAATGAATAGAGTAGCAAAATAACTCTTATTTGTTAGCCACTCTTCTCATTAAAAAAGAATTGTATTATTATTATTAACTCAAGAATATTATGGAATAAGTATTTGAAAATAGAAATGTATATGAAACTAAAATTAAATTATCTGGTTAAGCTGAATTAATTAATATTATTAGAACTAGATTAAAAGATAAACCATTAAGTTATGTATTAAAAGATAAAGAATCATTAGTTTAATGTATAAATGAATATAAATAATCATAAAAATAATAAAAATAATAATAATAAGATGAAATAAATGAATATATAATAATTAAAAGAGTTTAATAATAATAATTAGATGAATTATAATAATAATAATAATAATAATAATAATAATAATAATAATAATAATAATAATTAGAATAATAAATAGATTAACTTAATTTATAAGAATCCTAAGATATTTAATAATAAGATAATAATCATAACTTTATAGATAACAATAATTAACATTCAACAAATGAAGATAATTTAGTAAATTATGATCCTAGACGATAATCTCATTGCTATCTTTATAAGATTTTATGATTCAATTCAATTTACAAATAATACATTAATAATATATTACATTTTATATTAATTTAAACAAATAATAAATTATGATATCAAATGATACTTTGACTCCAATGCAACAAACTGCCTAATTTTATATACCTCCTGGATTTAGTTTCAATAGAAGAACTCTAAAAAGACTCAATCCTCAAAATAATATAGTAGAAATACAAACTATCAATACAAATTAAAACCTTAATATGAAGTCAAATAGTTAACCAAATTTATTAAATCTAACAAGAGATAAAAATTTTTCTTTCCATTTCGAATCACAATAACAACCAGTACAATAAAACTCAGTAAAAAAACAATTATCTCTACTTGGGATATAGTAGAGATTACTGTTCCCAATAATCCCTTTTAAAAAATAGAATTCTCTCAATATTGATTCAAAAAATAGTATTTCATCTCCTGAGAAAAGTAAAAAAATTTTAAGAGCTTTAATAATGCCTTAAAAAAAAAGTTAAAATTTAATTATATCTCAAAAAGAACATCGCTCTACTAGGTCTCAGGGTAGAAGTTTTTTGTAAAGTCGACCATAATTAAATTTATTAAATAGAATTTTCTCATCAAAATCGTAACATGAATTATGATTTATTTTTATATAAAATTATCTGTAATTTAAATGATCATGGCATTCATAATAATATTATAAATAAATGATTCATTCTTGTGTCCAACAGTTAGATTATTAAAATTTCTACAAATCTTCATAATCATATTGACTTTCTCTTTATTAATATAATTCTATTTATTCTTAATCTTGAAAATCACTAATTTATAAATAATTCAAAAAATCTTCTTAATTAATCTTAGGGTTTGGTTGAGGGTTCTATCATAAGATAATAAAATACTTTGTTATCTATAAAAGCTTTATTAATATGATCTAAAAATTTTTAAATTTCCTCATTATTTCGTTCAAAATTAATGTCAAATTTAACTTTGTCATCTTCCTCAACTGTTTCAGATTTTTTAGTATTATTCATCTGGATATCTTAAGATTACTTTTATTTATCCTAATAATTTTATTGAGCTTTGATTAGGAGTATCCAAAGTTTTAAAAAGCTTTTAATTGTCTTTTAAATTTGAGGATCTTCTTATGTTAAGATTGAAAAAAAGTCTGAGAAATTTTGAATATTTTGGTTTTTAGAGAAGAAACTAATAACTTCAATAATTAACTTTAAATCTTTAGGTTGAAATATTTCATTAGAATAACTTATTGAATTTAATTTGATATTGTTAGTTTCAAAGCATTCTAATAATTATGGATAGTCATTTAAGCTATTCAAAGGCACACGAAGACAAGTATTCAACAAATTTGTAATACGTTCGTAAACATTTTCAATCATGACTATTAGTAAATTTTATGATAAAAGAATTATAAATATTCATTTTATTTAAATGTTTGATATCTCATCTTTAATTTAAAATGGTATTCAGAATGAAGAAGAAGATAAATAAGTCTATTAGAAGTATATTTGTGAAATAATGAAGAGAAAATAAATGCATTTCTATTAGAAAATAGTAGAATGATTAGTCTAATCTTAAAGAAAATTTGGGAATTATAAAGCTAGATATAAGGAAGATGCAGAGTCAGATGTTGAGTTATAGAAAGAAATGGAAGTAAAATAATTGTAATAACAAGCAGCAAAGAATATTTAGGATACTGATGTTTGAGGTGTGAATGTAGGTAAAGAATAAGATGTAATAGAATAGAAAATAAAATAATTATTATATTAATACAATTTAATTGGATTGTAGTGTTTAAGTGAGAAAAATTAGAATTAAACTGGAAATAATTTAGAAAAAAAATGTTAAAAAATTGAATAATAATGTATTAAGGGGTTGGCCAGAATTTATTAGTATACTTAAGGATTTTACTAAGATAGAAATGAGAACTATGGTTAATTAATATAGATGAATAATGGTTAGATAGAGAAGGAGGAGTCTAAAAAAAGAAGAAAGGTGAAGAAAAAGGAATAAATTAAGAAATAATAATAAGGATAAGATACATTTAGTTTGAAGAGAAGACTATTTATAAAAATAATGTTGATGAGCATTGTGTTGAGGGAGGAATGGATGAGATTTATGAAGAGAATTTAAGATTAGAAGAAATAGAAGAAAAACTTAAGAATTTTTAAAAATTAAATAAAACATAGGAAAATATATGAGGTTAGAAGATCCAAGTATTAAGATTATAGAGATTAATATTTGTACTTAGAAGAGTAACTAACTATTACAATTATAAAATATTTTGATGAATAAAATGTGTTTTTTCCCATTCTTATTCAAGACTTTGAGTCTGAATTAGCTCGTTTTGATGATTAAGAATTAGAGGGTGATCTTTTTCTGCTTATGCTTCTCTTTTTGGGCTTATCTTGTCTTTTTGGACTTCTACTATCTCTATGTTTATTCCTATAGTATCTATTTTTTCTTCTAGATCTTGAAGAGGAGTATGAAGAATACGAACGAGAATCAGATCTCCTTCTATGATGTCTAGAATATAATTAGATAAATAACCTACCTAGATCTAGAATTGGAATATCTTCTACTTCTACGAGGTGATCTGCTATTTGGACAATTTCTAGCCCTGTAAAATATTAATTAATATTTATACCAATGCCCACCTTTATTGCATTTGAAACACAAATCACTATCAGAAGGTCCAGTTTTACGACTTTTTCCTTTGTCCACAATATCCACCTTGAGTTTCTGACCTTTATAAGACATTCCATTAGTCTCTTTAAGTGCTTCTTAAGCTTCAGTCTCGTTATTAAAAGTCTAATAAGATGGATATATTACAACGAAAGAATATGAGCCTTTGTAAGCGACTTCTTTGACTGAGCTATATTTTCTAAAAATTTCTTTCACATCCCTTTCATCAGTCACTTTGTTGCGACTGTATCCAGCGACGAAGAGTTGATTAGGGACAATCTCACCCATTAATTAAATTTGTTAATATTAATATGATTGAGTATGGTTGTAAACAATAAAAAATAGTTAATAATTAATATTGAATGTGGTTCATAATTACTATTTTTGTTAGATAACACAATTATATCATACCTTTAATTTAATATATTTAATTGATTAATAAAGAAATTTAATCTTAATTATTATTAATCATCTATCAACTAATAGAATCTAATTATCAACTTTGAATAATATCTAATTAAAATATCTTTATTTAAAGTATATTAAACTATTAAAGTTACAGTACTTTTTTTGTAATTCAAAAATTATTTATACTTTATTGAAGGTATTTCAAAAAACAATAGTATGTTGAGAATGAATTATAAATAATATCAAAATGGAAATAGATGATTATAAAAAGTAAAATAATTAAAATTCAATTAAGAATTGTTGTATAATTATGGTAAGAACATATAAAAAAGTTTAATTTTATTATATCAGTAATGATATATAATAAAATGAATTAATTATTATAAACTATTCATTATTACAATTATTAGACTGATATTCTTAAATATATCACAATATTAATATGTAAATAACTATAATTAATAGAATATTTAGTATATATTATTAATCAATATTATTCAGTTTTTATTCTAGTATTTATAGGAGGTAATAAAAAATTACCTTATTTTTTGTTATTATTATTGTTGTTATGATTATTAATATTTACATGATTTGGTGATAATTATGGTAATTTACAATTACTTACAGATTTAATTGATGGTCTAGGAGTTTTAATTTATTAAATTGAAGTAGATTTAGGTTTCTTATAATTTATAAATAATGGACAACCAACATTATCTAATTAAACATGTAAGATCTTGCTATTTAATATTTCTTCACATGAAGGTCTCTATTTAGGATCTATTGATAATAATTTATTTAATAAGTTTGTCAATGCTTTATTTTAATATAGTTCTTCTTGAATCTATATCCAATCTAAATGGCATTCTAAATTCTATTATTTCATTGCTAATGAATTTTATCCATTAAATAATGATTTATTTGTGATTCTACAATATATATGAACTAAATTACAATCTATATAATATGCATCCTAAACTAAATATATCACATTTCTCATTATAGGTTAATGTTTGATTATTTTCACAAAGAATTACTTCAGGAGCCATAAAACCTGGAGATCCACAATATTTTCCAACATCCATATCAATTTTTATTTCTGAACTTACACCAAAATCACTAACTACTATATTAGGATCTGTTTAAGCAATCAATGAAAATTATTTTAATGGCATAGGTCTCTTAAGTAGTATATTACTTGGTTTTAGATCTCTATGCATATATCCATGTTCATGCATATATTTAATTGCTTCAACAATTTATCGGAAAATAACTTTGACTGTCAGAAACGGTAAAGGTTCTTCTAATTTACTTAATCCTTATTCTAGAGTTCCTCCTCTAGCCCAATCCATAGCTATATAACATTATGCTCTATTTTCAAAATGATCATGACATTTTAATAAGCTGGAATGATCTAAAGATTTCATAACTTTGATTTCATTATCAATTGATTCCTAACAAATTAAAATTTAATTGAAATACTCTCCATTTATCAGGATCTTTTTGCATAAGCATTTTCTTAAGAAAAGCTTTGATTGCTAATTTAATACCATCTGTTTTCCTTTTAGCTATGTAAACAGATGCAAAACTTCCACTTCCTATCAATTTCTCAAGTTCATAATATGTCTAATAATCTAATTAGGGAATTGAAGATTTTAATTTTAATTCCCAAGGTCCAGACTTATCAAGAAATAAATATTCTTTAAATAAACAATCATCCTTTTCCAATCTCAAAATAATGGAATTAGATTCATGTTTGATTTAATATCTCAAAGTACTATTAAGTTTCGTCATTTTTAATGATTTTTACGACTAGAGATATGTATCCAAGAACTACCTTCTTAAACAATAGATTTTAATAACACATAATTTCAACATAATTATTATTTTTGGATAGAAATTTGGATTATAATTGAAATCGTAGGTTTATAATGAGATCTATTTCTGCTGGTTCAAATATTTTATTTTGCATTTTTAATTAATTTATCACTTTATAAATAATTAAATAAACATAAAAATATCATATTTATGAAAGTTTCTAATTATAATTATATTCTCTATTAATAATTATCATTAAAAAATCTATTATTATTCAATTCTTCAAATTACTTAATTTTATACTAAAATAATAAAAGTATATATTCTAATATTCTACTCATTATTTAAGTAAATATACAAATTTATGTTGTCAATATTATATATATTGAAATGTTTGCATTAAGGATATAATTATATCAAAAAAGAATATAAATATAAACACTTCTCTCATTATGATCAATATTATAATAAGTATATAAATGATAGATAAACTCAAGTAAGGTATGATCATATTTATTATCAATATAAACTATTTCTATTTATCTAATTCCAATATTACAATGAATTTATATGTTATTTACAAATAAATAAACAACAATAATAAAAGAATCAAATATATTAAGTAAAATGATATTTGATTATCCTATTCAAATTAATTCAAGATAATATTTCAATACTTAAAAGCTATCTAGATATATATTGAATAGTAAACATATTGATTGAATTTTCAAAACAACTATTAAAATTACAAAATTATTATCATGAATATCTGATTTATTACAATGTTCTAATACTACTTATTATAATGATAATTTTAAAACATGTAATTTATGTTATTTCATAATTGGACTTTGCTATCTTATAAATCAATTATGCCTTTCATTTTATTAAAATTTAATATTTTTCATTTTCTCTAATTCTCAATACTCAACTCTACAATGTCTTAGAAAGTGCATGCTATAGATTCCCTTAGAACGAGATCTCTTATACCTCCTGATTATGATTAATTAGAAGAAGCTCAACTTAATTAAGAAAATCTTGTCATCTCAAGTCAAAGAAGTTAGAACCTTAAAAGCATACTGAAAAAATAAGGTAAAAACAGTGTATCGAAATTGAAGCGTCTTCGGATTTCAACTAACTTAAATTAAGTATTTATAGTGGAAAATTGGAAATAATATAATTCTAATTATGAAGAACCAGCAGAATCCTGCTGTTAAACATTTTGATTATGAATACAGATACATGAATATATATTAAAATTAGTTTAAATTTACAAATATCCATTTTCAATTTTTTATGTCATAATTATTTTCATATAAAATCATATATATTTGAATACTCTAACTTGTTTTTTGTATTATTTTTGTTAATTTACTTGAAATTGATTATCAATTCTATTTACAATATGAATTCATCATCATATTCAATATCTTAGTTCTTAGGATTATTTGAAATTATTATCTAATAAATCAACTGACTAAGATTATATTCTCTTTATAAGAAATATTATTCATTAAAATATATAAGTATAAGCTAGATTCTTATGATTTTAGGGTATATTCCTTTCTGTTATTATATACTCATCTTCTCATACTTTTTGTAACTTATCTCTAAATAGAACAAAAATGATTACTTAACTAAATGATTAGTATATAAGATGATAATACCAAATAATTTCGACTTAAATAACTATCGAAAATTTTATTATAATTTTTGCTAAAATAATATCATAGACTCTATATATATTTGAACAATTTATTCATATTGTTGAAATTGTTTCAATCGATTATGATTAATATAATTATGTAATATATTTTGTAACTTTTACATGTAAACATTAAAGGAGTGTATTATGTAATTATAAATTATTTATGGATTCCTGACATTTCTATAAAGTTTCAAAGCTATAGTATAATTTAAAACCTTTTTTGATTAAAATAAATAATTAAATGAACAATCCACTTGGACGCTCTACATAGAAACCTGAATAATAGGCACCAAATAATTAAAAAAATAGTAGAGCCAAAGAGTTTGAAAAATAATTATAAGAAGAAGAAAGAAGTAAAATCTATTGAATCATATTTATTAGTGTTAGCATAATCTGCAGGAATTATTAATAATACATAATAAACAAATAGTCAATAATAATAGCCTGCTTATTCATAATAATAATAACTTAATTAATAACCATAAACTGTATTTGGATAAATAGGTTAGATGTTAGATGCTCCAAGAGTAAATTAATTCAACAATATTAGAAATTATTTTTTAGAAATACTACAACTCAACAATAACCAATTTAATAAGGATAAAGATAACCAACAGATTAGAATGAACCAGAAATAATATAAACAAATATTGTATAGATCTATACAACTCGTGACATTAAGAATATTGGATTAGAAATTATATAACCTGGAGAAATAGCTTTATAGGAACTTAGAGGAATATGTTCAATTGGTACTTAACAATTTTAAGGAATAATTGTAGCTACAAATTATTAAGTAATTAAATTGATGTTGAAATATAGATTATATTTTTACCTGATAAATTCCCAAAGGATTTTAGAAAGGATTATTTTTATATTCCATATACTTTAATGATTAAAGTAGAGAAGACTATGGATAGGAAATAAAATGATGCTAATTTTATTGAGATATCATGTAAAGATGGTAGATGGTTTAAATATAGATTTTTAAAGGAATAGAATGATGATTGTAATAGCATATTTAATGTTATTAATAAGAATGCATTTACATTAAATAAATAAACTTTATTTGCATTTACATTTTATAAAGAATATTCAAATTTAGAAAATGATTATTAAGGATGGAAGATATTTAATATAGAAAAGGATTTTGAAAGAATGGGAATTAATATATTATAAGAGAATTCATAAAATTAAAATGGATTATTTAAATATTTAAATAATGAAAATGGAATCATTTGTTCAACTTATTATAATAGATTAGTTGTACCTACAAAAGCAGATTTAGATTGTATATAAAAAACAGCAAAATTTAGATCTAAAGAAAGAATACCAATATTATCTTATGCATTCTTAATAAATGGAAAAGTTATATCTATGTGGAGAAGTTCATAATGCAGAACTGGTATAGGATAAAATAGATCTACTGAAGATGAATGCTATTTAAAATATATGTCATTTTAAACTGTTGATGAACAGGAAAGTCAATATGAAGAAAAGGAAACTCGTTTAAGGATATATGATGCTAGACCTCATATCAATGCTATTGGATAATAAGTGGCTGGTAAAGGTTATGAGAATACTCTATTTTATAAAAGATGTAGCATAGATTTTTTAGATATTCATAATATACATAAAGTAAGAGATTCATAAACAAAATTATTAAAAGCAGCATTTAAGTATGTAATTTATAATAAATTTAAGTGAAAATGTATAATTTCTATCATAATTGGAATAATCATAATGGTATGATCACATTGTTGCAATAATTAAAGGATCTGCTAAAATAGCAATTACAATGACAAAAGAAAAAATTAATGTTTTGGTTCATTGTAGTGATGGATGGGATAGAACTGCTTAATTGACTGCCCTTGTATCCATAATGATTGATTCATATTATAGAACAATAGAAGGATTTATGATTCTAATATAAAAAGAATGGATTAATAGTGGACATTAATTCTGTTAACGATCTGCTATTGGAAATAAATAAAATAATGAAGATTCCAGATCTCCTATTTTCTTATAATTGTTAGATTGTGTATATTAAATGCAGTAATTGTATCCATTATCATTTGAATTTAATGGGAAATTATTATTAGATTTAGCTTATCATCATTTAACTTCATTATTTGGAACATTTTTATGTGATTCCTTTTTAGTATTATATTTTATTTATTTACTTTTTTTAGGAAATTCAAAAACAAAAAATTATGGAATAAACTGTATCTATTTGGTCTTGGATTATGAAATAAAAAGATAAATATATTAATGCCTTCTATAAAAATCCATAATCTATTGATTAAGATGTTATTATACCTGAATCATTTACAGGAAAATCAATTACTTTTTGGAAAGAATATTTCCTATATTACTCTTTAGAATCAAATGATGCATATTAAATACATCCTCAATGTTAATACACATGGTATTATTTAACAAATTTAATTTTAGTGATAATCTATAAGAAATGTATAAAGCTTTGTCTAAAGAAAATCATGTTTTAAGATAAGCATAGAAAGATCAAGAAAAATTAGCCATTCTTCATTAATAGAAATTTAATTAACTTATGCAAATTATCTAAGAAACATAAAATGAAGAAATTATTGAGAAACTTTAGACAATCAAACTTATTTGATAAAGATTTTCATGTTTATATAATAATTACATATATATATACATTTTTCAAGATACTCTTTCAACAAAATAATAAAGATCGTTCAGTTCTTTATTAAAATTAAGATTCTATATATTCCCTATATTTAAGAGTTAATGCTCTTCTTTTTTTATTATTTTATTATTTTGGAGTTTTATACTATAGAATGTTATTCAAAATCTCAATTCTAGAATTCCTTTACGAATTTTATTCACTATATTCATTTCTGGAACTTAATTATTCAGGTAATTAATTGGAAATGCGATTACTATTGCTATTTTGACTTGATTAATTATTCTAATAACGAATTCTATCATCTAAATCATTTAAATATAATGTTGCTTTTATTGGCCATTCTTTATCAAGATGTTATTCTAATTTTATTTATTTTGGTAATTGTACATAATAGGTTTTTTAATGAAGTGTATTTAAATTGATGGAGTCTTAGGGAGATAGATTATTTATTCTTTTCAAGACATTTATTTTATTTTGAATTACTTTATTGAATCTATCAGGTGTTGATAATAGACTTCTATCTTATTGTTTACTAGAAACTAATTATATTTTTGGTAGTGGTTATAATTTATCAGGAGATGCAATATAAACAAAGTTTTTATTTTTTGTTTTTCTTTTTTAATTAATTTCATTATCAGTTAACAATTTATTATTATTATTATTATTATTATTATTATTATTATTATTATTATTATTATTATTATTATTATTATTATTATTATTATTATTATTATTATTATTATTATTATTATTATTATTATTATTATTATTATTATTATTATTATTATTATTATTATTATTATTATTATTATTATTATTATTATTATTATTATTATTATTATTATTATTATTATTATTATTATTATTATTATTATTATTATTATTATTATTATTATTATTATTATTATTATTATTATTATTATTATTATTATTATTATTATTATTATTATTATTATTATTATTATTATTATTATTATTATTATTATTATTATTATTATTATTATTATTATTATTATTATTATTATTATTATTATTATTATTATTATTATTATTATTATTATTATTATTATTATTATTATTATTATTATTATTATTATTATTATTATTATTATTATTATTATTATTATTATTATTATTATTATTATTATTATTATTATTATTATTATTATTATTATTATTATTATTATTATTATTATTATTATTATTATTATTATTATTATTATTATTATTATTATTATTATTATTATTATTATTATTATTATTATTATTATTATTATTCATCTAATTATTACTTATTTAAGATTCTTCAATTGATGTTAAATAACTTAATGTATTTTTTAATTCTCTTATTGGACTTATTTATGATTGAATATCAGGAATATTTTAAATTGGATCAATTTTAATAGCTGAATCATTTTTTATTCCATTTTTTAAATCTGAAACAGTTAAATATCTTTAATAGATTCCTTAAGTTTATTCAATATTGTTTTCAAATTGTTTATAAAATTTATTTCTTTTAATACATAATTTCTTTAATTACTATAAATAATGTTATTCATTATATTATGATAATTTTGAATATAATATTTAGATTGGTATGATAATTAAATTACCTAGATGAGAATGACATGAAACATTAAATTAACGAGGTATTTTTTCAAAAGCCTCATAATCACCAAAAAATTCTCCTTCTGTCATAATTGCTAATTATTTTCTCACATTATGTTTTTATTGATAAACAACAAATTCTCCTTATTTTATTATGTAAATAATATCAGAATCTAATTAACCTTTTTTGTAAATAACATCTCTAAATTTATAATCTTAAGTTGAAAAAGAAAACAACATCAAATTTAGTAATCTTTAATTTAATCCCTAAAAACTAGGATTTAATTTAAAATTTTTCATTCTTTTTTATTCCTATTTTTGTTACATAATTGATATTGCAATTTAAAATGATTCTTTACTTAGAATTCCTATTGAACTATCTATATCACAAATGGCTATATTCATTCTTTTCTTGTCTAATTATTCTCCAAAAACTTTCCATTCCTTAATTTCACTCAAACGAACTAAACTATTTTTACTTATGATTTAATAATACTTTTATATAATGTGATCTGAATATTTCAATTTTTATATCTACTGTGTCCTATTATCATTATTAACACTAAAAGATTATTACCTTGATTTATTTGAGTTGAATATATCATCTTATATATACAGAGAAACTTAGCCTGATATTACCATATATACATTATTAGCTTATTCACCTATTTCGTATATCACAGCATTCTGAAATCAGTTAATATGTCAACTTACTTTATCAAAAGTGTCATATTAAATATGACGTAAACAATAATCATAAGCTTCGAAATCATTTTGGTCAGTCTGAAATTATTAGAAAATATCGAAATTCTACATAAGTATTCTCATTAATTATAGAATTTCTTATTTTCTCTCTTAAATCGAACATTTTAGTATATTGATTAAGAGTTTCTTTTTTTATTGTATTGATAACTCATGAATCTATTCAAGCAATCTTGCTTAATTCCTCTTATTACCTAATTCAAGTGTGTCTAATAATTATAAATTCATTATTTTTTAATGGATAAAAGATTTTTCACTCTTTCCAACGATTAAAAATATTATTAGAATTAATTATATAAATTTATATCCATTCAACTAGATAATTATTTAAATAGATTTGATGATGAATTTTTATATTGAACATAACAAAAATACAATATTTATAAAAAAATCATTTTTTATATTGATTATAAAGATGTAAACAAATGAAAGCATCTAATGCTGCATAATGAATCTAAGCATTTCTTAATGGTCTCTTTTACCAATTTGATATTTATTCAACTTTATCTAATTCTTTACCTAAAAGTTTAGAGCATTAAAATGATAAATTAGTTTTCTTTTCTTCTGGAAATTTCATTTTAAATAATTGTGATAATTCAATCATTTATTTTAATTCAACATCATAGGCTCCAATTTATCCTAATAATGATAAAAAATCCTATCTTATATTTTATCCAATTTTTAAGGCATCACTAGTTGCATATTTTATAAGAAATTATTAATATATACTACTACTTGTAAGATTAGAACTATTTAATAAAAAAATCTTATCTGGTAAAGCTATCTATAATAAACAAACCTTATTTATTCTAGATGAAAATTTAGTCTGAGGAATTTCTTAAAAACTTTCAGTATCAATACCTGTTTGAGGAGCCTTTAAAATTTCATCTATAATTTTATCATTCAATGACTCTTCATCTTCAATCAAATAAACATCTTCCTTAGATATATTGAAATCCCTTAATAGTACAAATTAATTAGACTTCTTTGTATTCAATATTATTTCTGATGGCACTAAGAATATCATATTAATAAATACAAAAATCATCATTTTTTAATAGTGCATTCTATGATACATCAATACATTTATCAATCTCTTGTTATATTTGATGATTTTAAACTTTAATATTATTTCGTTTAGCTATTTGGATTGCTATTTATTTATTTGATGTAAAATAATTTTCAACCAAAAATTATAATTTACTTTCATCTCCCAAAAATAATTCTTCTACTTTCTCTATTGGTATTTCAGCCCTCTATTATTAAACATTTTCATACAAAAATAAAAAATCTCATAGATTCACCATACAAATGATTCAACACCTTCTGATTATCTCTTGTATCCAGATGTTGTTCTTTAATAATCTTGCTTTATAATTTCATATCATTAGTGGCCATCGAATAAACAAGTTCCTAATATTATTTATCTTATATTATACTTAATATGAAACAGTATCATATTATAGGGCATTCATAAATCGATATGCTGTGAAATACTTCCTTTTCTTAATCAATTCTTCAATGTATTCTGAAGTCTTATTTTACAATATTAACTCCTTTAATTTTGTTTCTTCTATCAATTTATCATTAAACACATTTGAATGTATAATATTATTCAAAATCTTAACTCTCTTATCAAAAAAGATATCAAACTCCCTAATATTTTTTTTTTCCATTATCATTTCATAAACTTTATTTGAATGCGTAATATGATAGGAAATAAGAGTTTTTGGTAGTCTCTAATAAATTGAGTAAACAAATCTGGAGAGTCCTATCATAATAACACTCAAAAATACTCAACTTTAAATAAATTATTTAATAATCCTATAAATAAATATTATGATCTAAGCCAACTCAAAAATTTCTGGACTTTAACATCAGTTTTATGCAGTATAAAGATTTCTAAATCCAATATTTCAAGTCTATTTTTATTATTGAATTATATCATCTGGTACTTCTTGATTTTTGAACTCATTATATTCTACTTCATAATTAATTAAATGAAAATTTGTTTTAATTTCACAAAATAAACTTTGTGCAATAGATCATTTTCTCAAGCAGATGTTCCATTTGTTGCTTATTAGGCAGGTATATAATTTATGTTTATATTGAGGTTTGAGCTTTAATATGGATTTAAACAGTCCTTTCAGATGGACACCAAAAATCTAGAAAATTGAACAAACACCTGAATTTTTAAAGAAAATGAAATATTTTTAGAGACTTACAATAATGGAAGATCATCACTATTCTGAACTAATTGATACATTTCTATTTTAAGCACTTAAAAATACAGATTTTGATTACTACTATGATTATAAATGCGAATCTAATCCTTAGTACTTTTAAAGTTCATCTATTTTAGTTGTCCTTTTTATGGAAACATACCATTTTTAATTTATAATAAAGTCAACAAATACCCTATAATTCCTGTTATGAGAACTAAACCAATTAATGCATTTACTTTGGTGGCTAAAGAAAGAGAAATGCTTATAACTGAGGCTGTTGCAGCAGGATTATGGGCATTGACTAATTCTTAAGTATAAAAACTCGATAGAGTAAGAATGTTATAAACAGATGGAAATCATTGGAGAATGTTAGAACTATGTAAATATTTCAATAAATTATTAAAAGGCAAAAATGAGAAATTTAAAAAGACAGGTATCTATTGTTAAGAAAATGATAGTTATAGCAAAATATATTATGATTATGAAGTTTAATAGGTCATTCTAGGATTAATTAGATATTCACTAAATTAAATGGATGAGAAAGAACAAGCACTTAATTTAATATATGATTTTGTTGATGAAAGAAGATATTTAACACATGAAGGTGCTCCTCCAAAAGCAACTGCAAAATTTTGGAAATTTGTACCTTAATCAATTAAGAACTTTTTCTTTTGAGTTTATTGATCTATGTATCATATTAATTATATTTAATTATTTTATGATATTAATTTCTTTTTTTTTTTGATATAAAAATCAATTTCCTTTTTGATTAAAATTTAATTTAATGATTATGTTTTTAATATGATATTGAATAATAAATTTATCATTCTTCTCCTCCACCAAATTGTTCCATTAAACCATACAAAAATTCTTTAGCCTTTTCATCAAGTATCTTATCAAGCAACTTTTAGAAAACTGGTAGCTTAATGAATTCCATATGAATTAAGTATTAGAAAATTAAAGAAATTGGACAATAAAATAAATTATCCAGGGTAAAGGTTCCTACAAAGATATAGCTCCATTAATTAGCAGTTTCCACTGAATCCATCATTACCAAACCTGCCAACATAACATAAGAAATGAGACCAGCACTTATTATCATAAAAACAGCTCCAATTGATCTAACTATCTTCTTTTTATGTGATAATGTTTTTTCTAGAATAATCTAATAAATTTTATTAATTGGAGCAGTTAATAAAGCTAAAGCAACTGTAAAGCTAAGATTATTTGGTTAATTAAATACAAATAACACAGCCAAACTACCCAAAATACTTGTGTAAACAATTGAAGCTCTTAAACCTCTAGGTTTTTTTTCATCTGATTTATATATTATCTATAATAGTTGATGGAAAAATTTAAGATATTCAATATAGGCCTTAACTTTAGTGATTGAATTTGAAATAGTCAAATACTTTAATCCTTTTGGTTTTTGAAGTTCATTTTTATTCTCTTCTGATTCCTTCTTCTAATCGTTGTATTATTTATCTGATTCATCACTATTTTTAAGATCTTCTTATGATTCAAGTCGATTTTCATTTTTTATAGAAGTCTGTTTTTCCAATAATCCATCAGATCCTATGTCTTTCGGCACATCAGGCTTAATGGCGATGTTGATATAAACTTTAGAATCAGGGATTTCATTCATCAATTAATCTTATGGAGAATTTATCCTAGAAAGTTAGGCTTAAAGTAAAATTTTTTGAAATGACCTGGGATTTTAAAAAATATTATTTTCTAATTTTGGTAAAGATTCGATTTATGGTATATCATTTTCTTTAATTTCTTCAAGTTACTTAATAAAATTAGGCTCCTATTTGTTTTCTTTATTTTCTTTAATTTATTTATTCTGTTCTTTATTTTCTGAGTCATTTTCAATATTCTCTAATTTAAGTTTTTCTTCTTTTAATTTTTATTCTGCTAATTCTTATGCAGCATGAATTTTTGCAAACATTTCATTATCAACTTTAACTCCCCAATAGACAACCCATAAATAGATACCCGTGATTCCCAAATAGAAATAGAAAACTATGGTCTTATAAAATGGAAATGATCCAAATGCCAATAGGGTATCCAAGGAAAATACTTAAGCAGCTTTATCAGCAATAAGATTCAAGGATTCCATCACAGAAGTTGGATTTAAAGAATCACATTAACATGTCGTCTCTCCATTCTTTTGCACTGTTTTGCAAACATTAGCATTCCATTCTCCATTTTAGGCCTAAGATATACACTTAATGGATGTATTATTTTTTAATTCTTTTAGTGTTGGAAACTTGAAATTCATTTAAGAATTTGCTTTACTGATATTAGATTAAGTTTCTGCGATTAATTTTGGATCTACAGCTTAATATCCACTGCTGTTTTTGGGAAAGTTTTGGTCTGCATAAAATGGATTATCAATAAATCTGGTCATTGAAAATTTATAGAAATTGGTTGAAGTATTATAATCAGTATCTGATTTTTCAGCTTCTTCCTCCAATAATCTACTTTTAGTAATTGTTTTTGATCCTGTAACTTCTCCTGCCATTTTGGTTGTAAGAAATCCAAAATTTAAATTTACTGAATTTGATTAAACTTTATATAGAGGTTCATTAGGTACACTAATACCTTATAATTATGATTGCATTTCTTATAGTTATTTTTAGATATCTGTTGATGTTAAGTTCTATTGAACTCTATAATTGAGACAAGAAGATAAAATATCTGAGAATGTATAGTATTGTTAAGTATATGTAGTTTTTTCAATGTTTTATATTGATGTCAATTTATTTTATCTTTATAAATTATAAAATGTTGTCAATTAAATATATGCTAAATTAATTCTATAATTCAATTAATTAAGTAACATTGATTCATTTTAATTTAATAGCGTTACATTTTAACTTAATAATTTAGAAATAGATCTATATAAACTTTCTGTTTAATTACTTAAGAATGTTTAATTTTAATCAATAGCAATC